AACAGGCCGCACAGCCCCTCCATCCGGATCCCACCGGGCAGCACCAGCCCTCATCCCACTGCTGGAGCCTGTCCCTCCCCACACAGCATCCAGCTGGTTGCCCCACACCTGCCCCAAGCTGCTGGGACTGCGGTAAGTGCAGCTGTTGGGGGGTTAGCACAGTGCAGGGATGTGCTGGGGCTGCCTCAGCTGGCGGGCGCACCAGGGCTGCAGGACAGGAGCAGAGTCCTTCTCCCTTCCCAGTTCAGCAAAAATCACAAAGACCCAGGCCCCGGCCTGGAGCATCCCCAGAGCTGGGGAGGGGGCAAGGGACAGGAGCTGGGTCACTCACTGCAGTTCATTTCATCCGAGGCATCCTCGCAGTCGATGAACTGGTTGCAGCGGCTGGGGGTGATGAACTGGTGGCAGCGGCTGGAGTTGCCGATGCAGCTCCCGTCTCGGCAGCGGAGCGGAACTCGGGCGCAGCTGGTTTCTGCGAGGAGGAAGAAGCCCCCAGAGCAGATGAGGCTGGGCACGGGGGATCCTGCAGGCACCCACTCCACGGTCCACACTGGGCACCCACACATTCTCACTGTCCACACAGCTCCGGGCTGCCTGATCCTGTGTTCCCAGCTCTGATCCCCTTCCAGATGAGGCTCAGTCCCTCCCGGCTCATACCCTGCCTGGCAGCCTGAGACCTTCTCCCTGGCACTGTCAGGCCTGGACAGGACTCTGGGAAGCTCCTGACCATCCCTGTGGGTTTGGAACTGAGCAAACAGGTCCTGCAGCTCTGCAGAGATGCTGCCCTTGGGGATGCCTGGGAGCTATGGGTGCTGTGGGAGCCATGAGGAACAGTGACACTGCACCCCGTGCCCCTCCTGGGTGTCACACCTCCCTTCTTGGAAAGCTCTGCGTGCTGCATGCCCATGCCCAGGAGTTTTTCCTCCCAGCTGTCACTCCGTGAGCTTTACACAGCTGCAGGAGCTTGACCTTGACTCTCTGTTAAGCCCTGGCTCTGCTCTGCTCCTGTCAAGCTGACGGCAACTCCCTCCCGAAGCTGCTGTCCCTGTCCCAGGCAGCTGACGGAGCCCTGGCAAGGGCTGGCCAGCCGCCAGGCAAACACTTACTGTTACAGGGCACTTCGTCCGAGTTGTCCCCGCAGTCGTCCACGCCGTTGCACCAGTAACGGCTGGCGACGCAGCGCCCGTTCATACAGTGCAGGTATCCCTTCTTGCACTTGCGGCTGCCTGCCAGGGGGGAAGAGGAGGAAGAGGAGGAGGAGGTGAATACAAGGGAGGGTGGGCACTCTCAGGTGTCTCAGATCCTCAGGGACCATTCAGCAGGGCAAGAAACTACAGAGCAGGATTAGGGAACCCACTCCCCCACGCTGGGCTGGCCCACGGGCGAGGGCTGCGGTTTGAGGGTGCCGCAGACCCCGCTGGCTCAGTTCGAGATGTGCTACTCTCCAGCCTGTCCCCCAACACTGGAAAAGGTCTGAAGACCTTACAGCCTGGCTGGGTGCACCTCTGGGAGGGCAGGAGGGACTGTGAGCATCTGAGTGATGTGAGGACACCCTAAAGTCCAGGTTCCCTTCGCCAAGCAAAGGATGCCCCATCCCTGGAAGTGTTGGACAGGGCTTGGAGCAACCTGGTCTAGTGGAAGGTGTCCCTGCCCATGGCAGAAGTGTTATGAGATGATTTTTAGGGTCCCTTTGAACCCAAACCATTCATGATTCTCTGAGCAGAGCCGACAGCTCAAGCAGGGTGTCTGAGGGTGCTGGGGTGCATGCGTGGGTGAGCAAGGCAGCAAGAGGAGGAACCTTACTGCAGTAGGACTGCTTCTCATCTGACTTGTCCTTGCAGTGCACCACGCCATCGCAGGTCCGGCTGAAGTCAATGCAGTCGCCATTCCCACACTCAAACTCGTGCACGTTGCAGGTGGAATTCAGGGCTGGGGAGGACACGGGAATGTCAGCTCTGCCGGGCTGAGACTGGCCTCTCCTCCTCCCCTTCTCACCCCCTCACCTTTGCAGGTGAAATCCTCCTGCAGGACCCTCTCCCCGCGGCAGGAGCAGTTGACGTGTCCCTTGGGGGTGAGCAGGCACAAGTCCTGGCAGCCACCATTGTTCACCCGGCACGGGGACAGCTCACCTAGGACGGAAGGACAGTGGTCACACCACAGACAGACCCAGCAGTCCCTGTCCCTTCTCATCCTGCTGGGGAGAGGAGAGTTGGGGTCCCTCCCCAGCTATTCAGATGGGGCTATGGTGGGTGCAGGGGGTCGGAGACATGCAGTCTCCCCAGATTTTGCAAGAAGGATGCCCTGAGAAGAGCAGAAACAGAGCAAATCCTCTCTGTTTTCAGTCTGTACAGGGTTTGGACACAGGCAACCCTACTGTGAGGGTCCCAAAGGCATGGAGACAGGCCAGGAAGGATGGTGGGAGGGATCCCAAAGGGCGAGGAAGGACAGCAGGATGGATTCCCCTGCCCCTGGCCTGCAGACAGCGTGAGGCACAGGGGGTGAGGAGGCTGCGGTGACAGGCAGAAGTTCCTTACAGCTGTCGGTGTCGTTGGCCACAGCAATGATGCCCATGGGCTGTTGGGGGATGTCCACACGCAGCAGCTTCATGTCGGTGCCCACGTACTTGTTGGCGCGTTGCACGGCCCTGCGCACCCAGTCTGTCCAGAAGATGTAGTCACCATACACAGCCAGGCCAAAGGGGTGCACAGGCTCCGATTTCAGGATCACCTGCCAGACACAGAATCAGGAAAAGAGTTGGGTTGGAAGGGACCTTAAAGCTCATCTGGTTCCCACCCTCCTGACATAGGCAGAGACACCTTCCACTAGCACAGGATGCTCCAAGCCCTGTCCAAACTGGCCGTGAACACTTCACAGAATCACTGAGGCTGGAAAAGACCTCCAAGACAATCAAGTCCAACCTGTGACTGATTACTACCTTGTCAACTAGACCAGAGCACCACGTGCCACATCCACTTGTTTCTTGAATGCTCCCAGGCATGGTGATACCACCACCTCCCTGGGCAGCCCCTTCCAATGCCTGACCACCCTTTCCATGAACAAATTCCTTCTGATAACCAATCTGAACCACCCCTGGTGCCGTGTGAGGCTATGTCCTCACTTCCCAGGGACATGCGCAAACTGCGAGCAGGAGGAACCCACTGTGGGATGCAGCCCCACAGCTTCACAGAGTGTGTCTGCCCCCCGGGGATGCCTCTCCCCCCTCAGCCCCAGGAACAGCTCTGCTTCCCTCTGGTCACGCTCCAGCCCCGATTTGGACACTCTCCTCCCTGCCTCACTGCCAGGGCCTGTGCTGGACTCACGTGGCGGTGGGAGCCATCGTATTCGCAGCGCTCGATCTTGTCCAGCGTGGCATCGGAGAAGTAAATCTTCTCAGCCTTGTGGTCAATGGCCAAGCCGTTGGGCGTCCGTATGTCCTGGTCAATGATGATGAGGACATTGGCACCAGAGAGGGTGGCTCGCATGATGCTGGGGTGCTGTTCGTTCCAGTTGGTCCAGAACATCAGGCTGGAAGGAGAGAGACACATGAAGCCTTTACAGCCCCAGCTTGGCTATGTCCAGGGTGGCTCAGCCCACCCTTCCACGGCTAGGGGCTTCCAAGGCCTGAGGGATGGATAGGACATCATTCCCACACAAAAGGGGGTGGGAGGGGGATGAACGAGACCACTGCAGCCAGCTGGGAAAAGCGGCACCCTACAGATGGGGATAGGACAGGGGTGTCTGTTGTTGCTTTGGGATGCTGAAGGATGCACGGCGAGGGGGACACAGGGCCATTCCTCCTGGGACTCCAATCGTCTCTGTGCTGGCAACCAGTGCTTCCTCCCCGGTGGAGCAGTGTCCACTGGGACCATATGGATCTCTGGAGGGGCTGGACAGACCCCTGATGGCCACTCACTTCTGGCACTCGTCCAGCACAAAGGCCCGGGGGTGATCATCTCCTGACATGGTGATCACCGTCTCCCTCTCGAAAGCCCCGAGGCGGCTCTGGTCCACGGTGTGTCGGGTGATGGTGGAGGTGGTGTAGCCCTTCAATTACAGCTTGTCCCAGCCGCGGTGGTACGCCAGCCCCTCCACCGAGCCCACATCTGCAGGGAGGGACAGGCAAGGGTCATATCCAGCCCAGGCCCCTGCAAGGCTGCTGGCTCACCGCACACGGCCAGTGCTGACACTGGGACGTTAAAGTTATTGCTTTTAATTACAGCCCCAAACACCCTCAGAGGCTGTTGGGTAACACTGCACCAATGCAGGGGCTCAGATGGGCTGGGGTCTGTGCTCGGGGTGAGACATCAGAGACTGGGGAGGTCCCCTGAGCAAAGCTCTGCTACAATGACCCTTCCTTGCAGGAAGGCTGAGGGATGGACAATCTATGATGCACTAAGGACTTAAAGTTGATTTCAAGCTCTGTGCCAGCCAGACCTTGCTCTGTGTCCCCTGACCCCACAGCAGCAGCAGGAAGGGGAGGGTCCCCAAGGGCACAAAGTGACATGGCAAAGCCTCATGAGGACCAGGGAGCCCTTCCCAGCCAGGAACTTGAACCGTGCACCCATCCTTCCCCCCTCATTAACACTCAGCAAAGAGTTTAATGAAGCGGCTGTGGGAGCTGGGCCATGCTCAGGGATAAAGCCACCGCAAGCACTGTGAATATGCTCATTAGCAGCATGTCCATGGCCCTGGCTGGGGGAGCTCCTGCAGCAGCAGCCATTGCTCTTTCAAGCTGCTGCAGGTGCCAGTAAAACCCAACCAAGTGCAAGGTGAGGGCTGGAGGTGAAGGCAAAGCCAGGCATGGAGAGGGTCAGGGCTCAGGACGCCTAGGAAGGCGAATGCGAACATGGAACCAAACCCGAGTTTGCTGCAGTGACTTTCTAGAGTGATGCGTGCCTGAGACTCGTGACACACTCCCTTGTGCCAGAATGAGCTCTGCAGACAGCTCCCAATGCCTATGTCCACTTCCAGAGGCTCCTCAGAAAGCTCACAGCTGAGCCTGTACCCACTGCCACTCCAAACCACCCAAACACATTAACCAAGGACCAGAATTCCTCGGGTGAGGAGGGAGGGAGCACAGGAGGAGGTGAGGGAGGACAGAAAGAGGGGTCTGAGAGCAGACACAGACGGAGAGCCCCGTGACACTCACTCTCCACAATGGTCTTGCGCCCCGTGCCGTCATCATTGATCTGCTGGATGTTGCCGAAGTGGATGTCGCTGTAGAAGATGCGGTTGCTGCCCTTGGAGCCATAGCGGTAGTCAAAGGCCAAGGCAATGACATTCTTCATGTGCTCTGCATCCTCAAAGGGCTTGATGGGCGCGTTGAGGTTGTTCTCATCCGAGAGGTGAATACTCTTGAGGATGGTGCGCTCCGAGTACAGCAGGTAGCCATCGTAGTCCCGGCAGCTCACCCCGTCGTCCGACAGCATCCCGTGGGCACAGGCGCACGTCCTCTGCCCACCGCCACGGAACAGGCAGAGCTGCTGGCAGCCCCCGTTGTTCTGGGCACAGATGTTGGTGCCTGGAGGGGAAAGGGGGGATTGGGTGAGGGACTGGGCAGGATGTACCTGCTCAGCCGCATTCACCTCTCACCACTCCCAGAGAAGGGAATGGGCTCAGTGCATGGTGGAACACAGCTCTGATGAGGACACAGCGACCCATTTGTTTCCCTCCCCCTCCCCACATGAGGAGCTGACCTCCACCCTGCACGAGGGGCTGCTCCCCACGCCCAGACCCACCCTTCTGCCGGGCTCGGTTGAAGACTTTGATGTCTTTGAGCTGCACACCAATCCCGGTCCGCAGGGACACTGACTCAGTGGCATTGTCCTTGTTGCCTCTTTTGATGGAGCCATTGGCATGAGTCCTGAGGAAGGACAGGGTCACTGACTGGCCAGTATGGGACCCTGCTCCACCTTCCCACAGCACCCACCAGCTCCACCCACCCTCCACACAGCTGATGCATGGACATCCCTGGCCACCTTGGCATCGCACCTATCACTCCAGTAGATGTACTCCTCGAAGACCGACACAGAGAACATGTCCATGTTGTTGCTGGACAGGACAACCTCCCGGTTCTCTCCCGTCTCCAGGTCGATCCGTTCAATCTTGTCTGTCCGAGCATCACACCAGTACAGCTTCCCATCCTGTGGTGATGAGAGAGCATCCCAGTCAGCACTAGGACGGCGCTACAGCATCCTCCACGCCTCCAGCAGGATGTCCCAGGGTTCAGGAGATGACTCTCCCAAGGTTCCAGGGCCCTGTACCTCGTAGTCCACAGAAATCCCGTTGGGCCAACTGATGCTGACATTCACCAGCACCATCCGCTCGGTCCCGTCCAGGCGTGAGCGCTCGATGCGGGGGTACTGCCCCCACTCTGTCCAGAACAGGTACCTGAGGGGGCAGCAGGGACGTCACCATGGGGCTGGCCAGGAGCAGTATCCTGGGGCCTTTTTCCATTGGACCAGAGGACAAACACCTCCCCCTCATCCCTCCACACCAGGGAGGCTCAGTCCAGACTCTTGCCGGCTTGCAGACCCTGTATCACATCCCCTGCATCTCCATCCCTCCCCAGATCCAAACACCTTTCCTTCTCCCTGGGACTCTGACCCAAGCTGGACCCAGTCTGTGGAGGCTCCACTTGAATTTTTTGAGGTACTAGTACACACCAAGTCCTGGGGGCTCCCTAGAAGCTCAGCCCATGGGCAAAAGGAGGGTTAAACTCAGGGCTTGGACCGCTTGGTGTGGCAGAAGACCTGTGAGTCCTTCCCCGCCGCATGCAGTGCCTCACCCCTTCTCTGGATGGACTGTGATGGCCCGTGGCTTGTCCAGTCCCTGTGAGATGACCACGTAGCGGAAAGACCCGTTCAGCCTGGCCACCTCGATGACATCAAAGCCCTGGTCTGTCCAGTAGATGTTTCCTGCAAGAGGGGACAGTGAACTCTCACATGAGCCCTGAGAACCCCCCACCCTGTCCCCCACTCCAGAGCCTCATCCCACCAGCGATCCAGTCCACGGCGATGCCCTCCACGCGGCCAATGCCGTTGGTGACCACGTCCTCGCGCCACGTCTGGTCCCGCTTGGCCCGGCTGATGGTGCTCAGGCCCATATCCACCCAGTAAATTGTGTCGTTCTCTGAGACGGATGAGGAGGCAGGAGGGGGTGTGTCAGTGACCACCCCCAGGTCACCCCAGGAGTGGCACAGACCCACACCTCAGGGCTCTGACACCCTCCCTTGCTGAGCGCTGCCAAGGGCGTATGTTCCAGGGCAGAGTGCTGTGAAAGCAGGGTCTGGAGCTGGCCCCCCTCAAGCTCACCCTCCTCAACCTCTCCAGCCCTGTCTTGTTCCCAGCCCTGTGTCACCTGCGTGGAAGTCGATCCCCACAGCCAAGGAGGTCCCTGACACCGGCACAAGAGCATCTGACTTGTCGTTGGGGTCCAGGGGGATGCCTCGGATTCCCTCGTGGACCGAATACAGGAGGAAGGAGCCAACACCTGTGACACAGGTGGCAGTCAGGCATATCCCATAAACCACAGGCTGTCCCTCCGCCATGGAAAACTGCGACAGCTGCTCTATGGAGGAGCAGAAGCCTGGCAGAGTTCTACAGGCCTGTCCCAGACCTCCCTGGGGGCTGCAACACCCAGTGCAGCCCATTTCGGGGTCCTGCCCCGCTCCAGGACACAGGGGAGGACAAGCGAGGCCCCTTCCCACCACTCCCACCTCATGCTGGCAAAGGCTCTGCAGCGCATCTGGGTCAGGGCAGCATTTGTTATTCAGTCCCTGCCCTGACCCAGATGGTGCAGAGCTCTGCCAGCCCCCGCCAAACAGCCGGAACACTGTGCACACAAACAGCCTTTGAGAGGCCCCGGCGGTGCCCGGGGAGATGGTGGCAAATGCAGCAGGAACGGAAGATCTGCAGAGTGAGCACTGTGCTGGCCACCCAGCTCTGCTCCTAGTGACCCAAACCCACTGGCCACAGTGAAGGTCCCACCTCTCCTTGGGGTCACTCTGCTGTGAGTAGGGCAGTGGGGAGGAGCCCACACACAGCCAGGGAGAGGGATCACCAGACACAGTGACCATGGGCATAGCCAGGGTGGCAGCACGGTCTCCCTGCTGCGAGGGTTGGTTTGGGGATGAGACAGGGACACACTCACCTTCGCAGGATTGCTGCCCGCTCTTGAGGCTGTAGCCGGCGGTGCACATGCAGGAGCGGGAGGTCTCAGAGGTGGGGAGGCAGAGCTGCGAGCAGTCTCCGTTGTTCTGGCTGCAGGGGTTGGTCCCAGCTGTGGTGGAGAAGGGGGTGAGGGGCTGCAGGGGTCCAGGGCACCCCCACTGGGGCTGGGGCAGCCACATGACGGGGGTGTCCTGTGCCGACAGCACGGACGTGGCACGGGGGTAAGGCCAGGCTAAGGCTAGCTATCGGGGATGGGGCCACCTGGCCACTACAGAGTGGCCAGGCTGGCCAGCCCTGTGGCGTCTCACCTTGCTGGATGCTCTCATCGTACACCTTCATGTGCATCACCAACGTGGTGCTGTTGCGCAGCACTGTCACCTCCGTCCCATCTTTCTTATTGCAGGTGCCCATCCTCTCGGAGGCCTGGTCAGCCCACCACAGCTTGTCCCCTGGGAAGAGAAGGCAGAAGCATGTGGCAGCATGCCCGCCCCAGAAAAAGTGGGAGAGGTAGGCATGAGAGTTTGGGAAGGGCCAGGAGACAGGGAGAGGTGTCCTCCTTTGCCAGCTCTTACCCATGATGGCCAGGGCGGTTGCCTTGCTCAGCTGGCTCCTCACAGACTCAATCACCTCCAGGTTGCTGCCATCCAGGTCACACCTGTTGATGGTGCCGTTGCCAGAGCTGATCCAGTACAGTTTGCTCTCTGGGTAGTCAATGGCCAGGCCTGGGAAGGATGGGAACATCAGCACTGTGCTGGCACACAGGGACTGTCACTGGACGGGCGGTGGGATGGGACCAGCGGGGCGATGGGGGATGAAGGCAGTGGGAAGATGAGGTCAGGGTGACCCAGCACAGGACAGCTGTCACCTCCCCCAGGAGCCAGAGTGGGGACTTAAGGCTCTTCAGGACACCAAGGCAAAATAGGAGTGTCCCGGAGGACATGGGAGTTCCATACCAACAGGTCCCTTCTGGTTGGTGAAGAGGAGTGTGCGGTTGCTGCCATCCATGTTGGCCACACTGATGTTGTCCCCGTCTGTCCAGTACAGCTTCCTGCACGGTGAGGAGATGACAGATGAGGGGACACCACACCAGCACCCTTTTGCCCCCCTCGCCGCACTCAGGGCCCAGCCTGGACAGCCCCACCCCATGCCCCTGGTGTGGAACCCCAGAGGGGATTTGGGTTTGTCCAGCCAAGCCCCGTGCACACCTGGACCAGCACACACTGGTGGGTGCACACTTATCCACAGCCTGTTCCCTGCACATGCACACATGTGTCCAGACACACAATACTCCTCCCATCTCCTCTCACACACCTCCTACACGTGCTGACACACAGGGAGAGCAACCTGTTCTCTCCTCCATCACACATGTGCACTGTCACACACACACACACGTGCCTGCGCATGCACACCTCCTCCTTGGGTGCTCCCGGCCTGACCTCAACCCACCAGACTCACCCCCGGAGCGGGTGAACCACCAGGCAGTGGGGTTTGTCCAGGCCCTGGATCACTGCATTCTTGAAAGAGCCGTCCAGCCGGGCCACATTGATCTGCTTCTTGTTGGTGTCATAGCTGGTCCAGAAAAGGTTTCTGGAAACCCAATCCACGGAGAGGCCGTGAGCGTTGGGCAGGTCTGCAAGGGAACAGAGACAGGAACTCATCAGCTGTGAGGATGGGGCTGTGATGATGCCCAGATGAAGATGAAGGGCTGGTCTCATGGAGCTGAAGGTTCTGGAGGGCTGGAGGCCACAGCTCTGGGGTTGCTGCTCCCCCACACCCACCTGCGGAGACAACGGTTTCCACGCCGGTGCCGTTGATAAAGGCTCTCTTGATGGTCTGGGTGCGGACGTCTGACCAGTAAATGCGCTGCTCCAGTGCATCGTAGTCCACCACTGTGACATTGTCAATGTCTGGCACAGTGAAGGAGATGATGTAGTTGTAGTAGGGGTTGTCAATGTCCACGCCCCGGATCTCCATCTGCCGTGCGTACAGCAGGAACTTCTTGAACTCTGGGAGAAGGAGAAGAATGGCAGCAGGGAGACCTTGGCTCTGGGGCAGCCGCTCGACCCTCCTGCCTGGGCTGCCCAGGTAGATCCCTACCATAGCAGGTTGTATTGTCCTTGTCCAGCTTCATGAGGTGGGGGCAGGCACAGGACAAGGTGCGGTTGTAGTTGATGAGGCAGAGGTGGGAACACGGCCCTTTGCCGCCATTGGCTTCACAGGGATTAGGAGCTGCAAAGGGGACAAGAGTCAGTAACATCCCTGTCCCTTGGGACACCCACTCGCGCGGCCCACGAGAGCTGCAGAACCCCCAGCCCCTGCCTGTCCCATCGAGGAGCTTGAACCATCATCTTCATCACACAGGGGAGTGTGAAGGGGCAATCACGGGGATGGGAGCAGGGTCCACCCCCTGTTCCAAGTGGGTATGAGTGCAGACTGAGTGCCAGCACCACCCTTCCCTGTGCTCCCCCTGACCCATCCCACTGCTTCCACTCCCCCAGGCTCACCCAGGGGCTGCCGGGACGGGTGATACACCTGCAGGTCAAAGGGCTGTGTATTGGTCCTCTGCACCACCGTCACGTTGTGCCCTGTCCACTTGTTGGCCTTGGCCAGTGTGTTGGTGCGCCAGTCGGTCCAGTACACCTCCCCACCATACAGGGTGACAGCAAAGGGATGTGACAGGTACTCATGTCCCCGCAGCACCTCGATGTGCCCTGTCCCATCATACAGGGCTGAGTAGATGGCATCTGACCTGCACCCAGCAGAGACAAGGGTGAGACTGGGCAGGTGGCACCACGGGATCTTTAACCCAACAGCAGCAACCCACACGGTCTAAGCAGCCGTGGGGGACAGCTGATGATTTACACCAGGGATCCGCACAGGAGAAAACCCAGGGCAAGGGCTGAAATGTGTTGGAGACCCCACAGTGCAAAGGCTTCTCACTCCCAGCCCAGCACAACACTGGAGCGAGGAGAAGGTAGGGGTTGTAGGAGACAGAAGATTAAACAGGTGTTCTGGCCATACCTGGCATCGATCCAGAGGATTCGCTTCTCCAGGTAGTCAACAGTGAGCCCGTTGGGCCACCCTCCCGAGCCCGTCTCCTTGTGGATGGTGCGTCGGCCTTCGCCGCTCATGGAGGCAGCCTCGATGCGGGGCAGGCTGGCATCCCAGTCCGTCCAGAACAGGATCCTGTCACAGGAGGTACAGCGAGGGGAAAAGTCAGCACAGGAGCCTGTGGCCTCGCTCCCCCCAAGATCCCACAGGTGCCAGGGTGTCCTGGTGAGCTCTGTCTCACCCATAGCGAGGGTCCAGGGCAATGGCGCGGGGGTGCTCTATGTCCCCAGCCAGCAGTGTGGTTCGCATGGTGCCATCCAGTTTGGCCACCTCGATCTGGTCCAGGTTGCTCTCCACCCAGTAGATGTTGCCAGCAATCCAGTCCACAGCCAGTCCCTCAGGTGTGGCCAGCCCATACTGTATCACCACCTCGAAGCTGGTCAGAGCTGTGGGCCACAGCGTCAGGGCTCAGGCTGGTGCCCCTTCCCCACCACTACCATCTCCATATCCTCAACAGCTCCACACAGTTTAACTGGGGTCAATGGTGCAGGGACACATCCTCCCCAAACGGGACCTGAACCCCAAAGGGCTCAGCCCCCCACTCAAGGTCCCAGTACTGGGCTCTTGCTGCCAGGGCATCACTGATGGGGAAGGGGTGGGCCGAGCTCTGTGCCCAGCTGCTGGGCTGCAATTACCATCAAGGCAGGGCTGGGAATGCTAATTAACTCCTGCATAATGAGAGCCAAA